CCACGGCCGGCGCGCTGCGGCCGGCGCACCGCGCTGATCCGATGGCAGGAGCCAGGTACTTATCCTGGTCTCCCATGCAGGTGCAGGGCCCAAGTACTTGGGCCATCCTCCACTGCACTCCCTGGCCACAGCAGAGAGCTGGCCTGGAAGAGGGGCAACCGGGACAGAATCCGGTGCCCCGACCGGGACTAGAGCCCAGTGTGCCGGCACCGCAAGGTGGAGGATTAGCTTAGTGAGCCACGGCACCGGCTCGCAGCATCATTTTTAATAACAAAAAGAAATTGAAAAAAGTCCAATGTTATTGAGTAACATATCATAAAGATATGCTGGTGAAATTACGGGATATCCATTCAACAAAACACTGTAAGGTTGTTAGAAATTACTATAATACAAAGTATATCAATAGGCAAAATGCATACTATGTAATGCCATTCCTGATTACCATTGTTCCTCATTCCTACCCCATCTGAGCAAGCACTCCTGTGGTCTCCCCATTTTGAGCGCTGGTTAGTCAATGACGGGTAAGATCCCCGGGGGACAACCTAAGACAGGCACAACCACGTACGGAGACCACATGGAAACGGGGTCAACAATGGTATGACCAAGGATCATGCCTTCCATTGCTCAAAAATAAACAAAAAGGGGGAAATATGGTGGAATGAAAAGGCCATGCCAAGATGGCCCCTGGCAACGGAGCCTGCCTGGCAACAGGGTGTGATTGGATGGCTTCAGAAACTGCCTGGCAACAGGCTGTGATTGGTTAGGGCATAAACCGCCCCTTGACCAGATTGGCTGCCTTGGCTAAATAAGCTGCTGTAGCAACTGAAATAAACGAGTCTGCAGGCTGCTCGCCTCTGGCCTGCTTTCAACCGACTCCCAGGGTCTGTGTGGTGACTCCATGCCTCTTGCCCCCACTGTGCTCCTACTCTCAGAACGAATCCACAGCAACAACAGAGAAATATGGGGAGAGACAGAGAGATTTTCCATCTGCTGGTTCACTCCCCAAATGGCCACAAGGGCCAGTGCTGGGCCAGACCAAAGCCAGAAGTCAGGAACTTCTTTCAGGTCTCCTACATGGGTGCAGGAGCCCAAGCACTTGGGACATATTCCATAGCTTTCCAGATACATTAGCAAGGAGCTGGATCAGAAGTGGAACAGCTGGGATTTGAACTGGTGCCCACATGGGATGCCAACATCACAGGTGGTGGCTTTCCCCACTACACCACAATGACAGCTCCGTGAATGTATTCTTAACTGGGATATACTCTGGTTTGTATGTGGCCAGTTAGGAAGGAACTGTAAACATTTTAAATGGCCAAGTTAGGATAATGAGATTGTAGATCTTCTTTTCTTTAGCTCTTAAATATTTTGTAACATTTATTTTAGCAGATGTAATTTTTATAAAATCTATTTTAAATTATTGGAATAGAGAATATATTAAAGAGCACAGCAAGCTCACAGTCCAGCTTCTCTAATTTAGAGCCAGTTTTTTTTTTAATTACTTGCTTATTTATTTGAGAGGCAGAGAGACAGAGAAAGGGAATCTGTTGGTTTATTCCTCAAATACCTCAATAGCCAAGGTAGGGCTAGCCCACAGCTCCAAGTCTGGAACTCAATCCAGGTCTCCCACATGGGTTGCAGGGACCCAACTATTTAAGCCATCATCAGCTGCATCCCAAAAGATACATTAGCAGGAAGCTAGAATCAGGGGTAGTTGGGATTTGAATCCAGGCACTCCGATATGGATTCCCAGTATCCCAAATGGCTGCCCATACATCCAGTTCTTATCTCAACAGAACTTACAGCCTAGAGCTACAAAGCTCCCACCTCTCCCAGAGTGCAGAACCCCTCACTGCAGACCTTCAGGACCATAGCCTTTGGCCTCTTGCCTCTTAGTCCCCTGCCACCAGTTCACTCCTTAACAAAGCCCAGTTATTTATCACACAATCAATGACCCTGAGCCAATTTCCTCCTATTTGTATATTAGCTGTTGATCAAAATCCTGATTCCAGTCATACTCTTCTCATACGAGCTGAATATAAGGAAATTGATGAAAACAAAACCACCAGCTCTTCTCCCCTTCCCCATTCTTCACACAGAGACACATCTGCAGATACTATGGCCTTCCATGAGTCCTCCCTTTGCCCCTATCAGTCTGACACAGGATTATAAGATATCCCACCACTACCCACACATACCTGAGTGTACTTCAAAAAGATTATGGAGGAGCAGGCCTGGGTCACCATCATCCCATATCAGAGAGCATCTGGGTTTGAGTCCTGGCTCCCCATTCTAGCTGCCTACTAACGGGCACCCTGGGAGGCAGCAGGTAATGGTTCAAGTACATGGGTACCTGTCACCCATGTAGGAGACCCAGAGTTCTGAGTTCCTGGTTTCAGCCTGGCCCAGAGCCAGCTGTTGAGGGCATCTGGGGAGTAAACCAGCAGTTGGAAGATCTCTCTCTCTCTCTCTCTGTCTTGCTTTCAATAAATAAAAACAAATTTTTTAAAGTTTGTGAGAGGCCGGCGCCGCGGCTCAATAGGCTAATCCTCCGCCTTGCAGCGCCGGCACACCAGGTTCTAGTCCCGGTCGGGGCACCGGATTCTGTCCCGGTTGCCCCTCTCCAGGCCAGCTCTCTGCTGTGGCCAGGGAGTGCAGTGGAGGATGGCCCAAGTACTTGGGCCCTGCACCCGCATGGGAGACCAGGATAAGTACCTGGCTCCTGCCATCGGATCAGCGCGGTGCGCCGGCCGCAGCGCGTCAGCTGTGGTGGCCACTGGAGGGTGAACCAAGAAAGGAAGACCTTTCTCTCTGTCTCTCTCTCTCACTGTCCACTCTGCCTGTCAAAAAAAATAAAAATAAAAAAAAATAAAGTTTGTGAGAAACGGAATTACAAGTAAATTTATTTTGGTCCCAAAATTTTGAAACTCATGCGCATGAGAGACCTGCAGAAAGTTCAAGGGAAATGCATATTATGAAGAAATTATAGGTGGATTTCAAGATTTTTTTGTACCAAGCCAAACATCTTTTAATTCAATTTTTCCACACTTTCTGAAGTTCCCATATACATGTTCTACTATTTACTGACAATATATTCATTCTGTTTCTCTCTCTCTCTCTCTCTCTGTCTCTCTCTGTCTCTCTCTCTCTCTCTTGCACACCCACATACTCCACACACACTCTCTGCTGTAACTGCCCAGGCTAGGTCGCCACTACAGTGAGGCCGCTGAAAGGGTACCTTCTAACAAAGCAGCAGCTCTACTGAGTGAGCACTAACTATCGGTCTGGAATGATGTTATTTGAAGGGACTCAGAGATGATTCCTCAACCACTCACCAAATGCTCACAGTGGAGGAAAAATAAGTCAACAGGAGTTGGTAAAGGAGTTGGTAAAGGAGTTGGTAAGGGAGTTGGTAAAGGAGTTGGTAAGGGAGTTGGTAAGGGAGTTGGTAAAGGAGTTGGTAAAGGAGTTGGTAAAGGAGTTGGTAAAGGAGTTGTTAAGGGAGTTGGTAAAGGAGTTGGTAAGGGAGTTGGTAAGGGAGTTGGTAAAGGAGTTGGAAAGGGAGTTCGCAAGGGAGTTGGTAAGGGAGTTGGTAAGGGAGTTGGTAAGGGAGTTGGTAAAGGAGTTGGTAAGGAGTTGGTAAGGGAGTTGATAAAGGAGTTGGAAAGGGAGTTTGCAAGGGAGTTGGTAAGGGAGTTGGTAAAGGAGTTGGTAAGGGAGTTGGTAAAAGAGTTGGTAAGGGAGTTGGTAAAGGAGTTGGTAAGGGAGTTGGTAAGGGAGTTGTTAAGGGAGTTGGTAAAGGAGTTGGTAAGGGAGTTGGTAAGGGAGTTGGTAAAGGAGTTGGTAAGGGAGTTCGCAAGGGAGTTGGTAAGGGAGTTGGTAAAGGAGTTGGTAAAGGAGTTGGTAAGGGAGTTGAGAAATGGAGCTGGTATAGAGTTGAGTAACAACAAGGAAAGCACTGTTTAAGGAGTTGGTAAGGGAGTTGGTAAGGAGTTGGTAAGGGAGTTGGTAAGGAGTTGGTAAGGAGTTGGTAAGGAGTTGGTAAGGGAGTTGGTAAGGAGTTGGTAAGGAGTTGGTAAGGGAGTTGGTAAAGGAGTTGGTAAGGAGTTGGTAAGGAGTTGGTAAGGAGTTGGTAAAGGAGTTGGTAAGGGAGTTGGTAAGGGAGTTGGTAAGGAGTTGGTAAGGGAGTTGGTAAGGAGTTGGTAAGGAGTTGGTAAAGGAGTTGGTAAGGAGTTGGTAAGGAGTTGGTAAAGGCTGGTACAGCTGCAAGCAAGAATGCTGCGGGTGCTCTGCAGCAAGCAGCACCTGGAGGTGGATGTTGAAGAATCAAGGGTTAACCACGGGGCTGGCGCTGTGGCACAGTGGGTTAAAGCCCAGCCTGCTTTCCCAGCATCCCTTAGGGGCACCAGTTTGAGTCCCAGCTGCTCCTCTTCCGATCCAACTTTCTACTACAGCTGGGAAAGCAGTAGAAGATGGCTCAACACCTTGCGTCCCTGCAACCACATGGGAGACCCAGAAGAAGCTCCTGGCTCCTGGCTTCGAATCAGCACAACTTTGGTCATTGTGGTCATTTGGAGAGTGAACCAGCGGAATAGAAGATTTCTCTCTCTGGCTCTACCTCTCCCTGTAACTCAGAAAAATAAAAATAATTCTTTAAAAAATAAAAGAGTTAACCACCAGCATACCCACCAGCACCTCTGCCAGGTCTGCAGGAAGCAGGGAGTCCACAGAAATGGCACTAGGACAGCAGAAGCAGGACACAGCATTCCACAGCCACACTTTGGCTCACTGCGTGCAGAGCACTGAGCGGTCTACAGAGATTAGATAAGCCACTAGAGAGAGACAGACATAAAACAAATTAACCAAAGGGAAGACAAACTGCTTTGAGCTGTGATTAACATCCCAGTGCGTTGAGAAGTGAGAGGGAAAGGTTAATTCCAGTCCTAAGAACGAAGGTCACTGGGAGTTGGTGGGGGGAGGGTGGCTCTCATTAGGGCGCTGCTTGAGGGGGTGGAGTTAGTAAAACCTTTGGAAAAATCAAGGTGAGGCGGTAGTAGGAGGTCAGCCTTGGGCAGGACAAGGAAGGAGAAAGACTGGGCAGGAACTGAAGGGCTGGGCAGGAGAGGGGGCAGGGCCAGTAGGCTCCACCTCTTCCCTTCCCCACTCCCTCTGCAACCTGTTTTCTGCAGTCTGCGAGACAGGTGAGCAAGGAACTCCGGCAGGCCGGTGTGAGGGCGGGCGGGCCATGGGACTGGAGTGTGAGGAGGTGTCTGCGACTGCTTGCTCTGTGGAGTTCAGGGAAGTCCTGACAGACTGGTTTGAGGTAGGGGCTGCTCTGGGTTGCTGTGTTTCAAAGACAAGAAAAGGCTCCCAGCCTGTGCAGGAAATCTTGAAATCTGAGTTTAGTGAGTCAGGATCGGCAGAGAGTGGGGGTGACCCTGGCAGATCTGGGGAACAGGACAGGAGTTACCAGGGCCTCCAGCCATTACCACAGGCTGCTGTCGGTGACACTCATCCTTACGCAGTTGTGTCCCTGTGACTTGTGCTATGTGCACATTCTGTCTCTAGCTGATTGCAGGGGAAATGAGAGCACAGGGTCAGGGAGGGTATGTGGCGCACTGACTCCAGCAGGGCCAGACTGAGGGCCTCTGACTGGGAGGTAGGAGCAGTAACGGAGAAACGGCAGGGCCTGCCCCATCACCTGGATTCCAAAGATGCCAGTGTGCACTGAGTTCCCAGCAGGGCCTTCCCGGGACTGGATCCTGGATGGTGTTGCAGAGGAATGCAGCCGGGAGGGAAGAAGGAGCAAGGGGGGAAGCAGAGCTGTGACACAAGAGGCCTGGAGGTAGAACATCCTGGCCATTCCACATCTACTGCCACCGAGGGAGAATTACAGAGCTGGGGGGACCTCTACGGGTCACGTATGTGATTTGAGATGGAAGAACCTGAAAACCAAACAAAGGAGTAGAGTATGTTGACTTTGGTATTAGATGTAGAGGTGATGTCAATTGCTGGTGCAGACACAACAGCTGTGTGTCTTTTTGCAGGAGCCTGGGGAGGGGCCATGGTGCCAAGCCAGTTGTGGGGGAAACTGGAGAAGCCGTTCCTCTTCCTAGGCTGCGCCTCCCTCCTCCTGGGGCTGGCTTTGCTGGGCATTCGGCCGGACATTGCCTCGGTTGCTTATTTCTTTTTCTCCGTGGGTGGCTTGTTTTTGCTTGGCTGCCTCCTGTCCTGTTTTCTGGAATTGGGGTTCCGAGCAATGCAGACAGAGAGCCCAGGGGCCTCAGACAATGCACGGTGAGTTGAGGGAAATATACCCTGGGCCCATTCTCTCTGTTCCTCTAGTCTTTCAGATATATTGTCTGCTTCCTTCTGTCTCTGGTATCACTGAGGTGAGGGGTCAGGGGCTAATGGTCTTTGATGGGTGGAAGACAGGAAAAGGAGGGGGGGAAGCTCCTTTCGGGAAGCCACCAATGACCTTATCTCTCCTCCCTTAGGGACAATGAAGCCTTTGAGGTGCCAACCTATGAAGAAGCCGTTGTGGTGTTGGAATCCCAGTGCCGCCCTCAAGAACCAGATCAGCCACCCCCGTACAACAGCATTGTCATCCCCCCAGGACTTGAGGGAGGACAGCCTAGCCCTCCAGAGGAGACGAGGAGAGACAGACTGAGAAGGCGAGTAGGCTCAGAGGGGTCTATGATGCAGAGAGGAAACCCTGGAAGAGCTCCAAACAGTGTTCGGCCTCGGGTACCACGGGTTGTATCCACCGCTCCAGATCTGCAGAGCTTGCGGGAACTCCCCAAATCAGAGCCTCTCACTCCACCCCCTGCCTATGACGCCTGCTTTGGTAACCCTGAAGATGACAGCGTTTTCTATGAAGACAGCTGGACACCACCCTAAAGGACTCTCCCACGACTGATCATCTCTCCACACCAGACCCACCTATTCATCCGATCAACATTTCCCTGTGTCTACTATGCGTGAGGAACTGTTTCTCCCGGACATCACAAACGGGGACTTGAACCCAGAGGGGAGGAGGCTACGGTAAGCCCTTTCCCAACTGGGATGAGGGTGGCGCCATGAGTCTCCTGGCACCGTCCGGTGACCTACCCTATGTTTAGTATTTCAGTAGATTGCCCAGAGAAACTGGAGGAGGAAGTGACATCTAAATGTCAAATGTGTCACAGGTTTCTACTGCAGGTGCTCTGCCTCCATTAGACCCCTTAGACTAACAGCCTCGTGAGGCATTGCCCTCATTGAAAAATGAGGATTCCAAAGGTCAGGGGAGTTCGACTATTTGCACAAGGGCGCACCGGCAGCAAATATAAAAAGCTTGAACTTCTAATTCTGAAGCCTATTGTGTTTTCAATACCAGATAACGGGAAGTCAGGCCACTCCTACATCTCGCAATCTCTGTCTTGGGAGAAAACAGAGGTAAAAGGCTTTATATCTAGATAGAAGGAGGAGGGGAGTTGTCTACAGACGGGGCGGGCCGAGCTTGGCTGGGAAGACTCCTTGCAAAACGAATCAAATAATCAACGTCGTGTGCACAGCGGCCCAGGCACCGCTCATCGGGTCCCCATCGCTCTTCAGGCCCCAACTGGGGACTTCCAGGTTTGACGATGCCGGATGTGAGTGGCAGAAAAGGATGAGCACATGGGAGCTCCTTGGAGAGCCACGAGGCACAGATTCTAAAGACTCCCCCTCTGGGGTCGTCTATGTAAAGCTCCCGGGTCACCTGCGAAGCGTCTCCAATCGCTCAGCCGCCTATCCCCGAGCGTTACCCAGGCCCCTGCCCTGCTTCCTCGGAGCCCACTAAGGACACGAGGCTTCCGGGGCTATGCTGTGGGTGCTGGCCCCGGGGGCGACGACATCATTGCTGACCCCGGCCTCCTCGCTGACCTTCACTGCGCAGGTATTTGTCTAAGGCCTTCTGGGCGTCTCGCCATCTTCTCCGCAATCTGGGCCTCAACATGTCAATAAAGTGAAATACACGACCGCCCTTACTCAGTGATGTTATTGCAATGGGGGGAGGGGGCGGAGAAGTGGGTGGCACCAGGGGGAGGGGGCCGTGATTTCCGCGGGAACCAGCAGCCAATCGGATTCCCAGGTCGGACGGCGCCTCGCTCTTTCCCCGCCCCTTCCCCTTCCGCCGAGCGCCTTCTCGCATCCCATTGGACGGCGCGGTCCCCGCGAGAGCTCCGGGGCCTGCGCTCGTACCAGGGACGGCGGGGGCGGAGCCGGCCTGGTGTCGGGGAGGATCAGGGCGTTTGTAGGGCGCAGGCGCGGGGTGCGCCTCCGGCCGGGGGAGGGATGCAGAGGAAGCGACGGCCGGGGGTTTGTTTGGGTTGTGGGCGGTACGTGCACAGCCCGGGAAAAGCGGGAAATGGCGGCGCCGAGCGCGGGGTCCCGGGCCAGCCTGCAGCAAAAGGGGCTGCTGGCCGCTGACAGGGGGCGCAGGTGAGTGGGCGAGGGTCTCAGGGGGGGTTGATGGGGAACAGGAGAGGAGAACGCGGGTCCCCTCGGGGCCTCTGCAGACAGCCGAGCCCACCCTGCTGGCCCAGCCGAGACCCCGTACGACCCGAGCCCCGGCACGTTCTCGCCCGGGCCTCTCGGCCTTGTCGACTCGCAGGCTTTGTCCAGCCCCGCGGGGCCCCGAGTGAGGGTCCCTCTCTCTGGTGCTGCTCTGGGCGCCGCATCCTCTCCCCCGGCTGCCTCGGAGGAGCACGTCCTCTGCCCCGAGGCGCTCGAGCTGTCCGGGCTGGATCGACTGTGTCCGAACCCGCTTGGCTTTGCGCATGATGACGGCCGCACAGGCTTTGGGGTGCAGTTTGCGCAGCACGAGGGGCTCCCGGGGCTCCCTGTAGGACTTGCGTGCCCACGTCTTTGTTCCGTGGCGGACGTCGCCCAGGAGGACGTGTCTTAGTGCTCTCTGGTCCAGACCCAGCAGAATAACGTGGGACGTCGGTACGGGAACCTTGAGGACATCAAGACTTTAGGATTCTTCTGCCCTTCGCGTTCTCTCCTCCCCCCTCCCCTGCGAAGTGTGTCCTTAAGTTTTGGATGATTGGCCACTGTGGGAGAGTTAAAATGTAAGGCTGTGCTCGAAGGAGCAAGTGTGCAGAGAGAAGACAGTCCTTCGGGTTCAAACTCAGGGTGTCGGGTGAAGATTCAGGGCTAGAACTTGAGGGTTAGTTGGGGAGTGAATTACTGAGTTCTGAGTGTGCATGCGATGGCCCAGGACTGGCTAGTGAGGGGAGTGCAGTCAGGGGAGGGAGGCCCGAGGTCCCCCCCCAGGACAGGCTGGTGAGGGGAGTGCAGTCAGGGGAGGGAGGCCCGAGGTCCCCCCCCCAGGACAGGCTAGTGAGGGGAGTGCAGTCAGGGGAGGGAGGCCCGAGGTCCCCCCAGAACAGGCTAGTGAGGGGAGTGCAGTGTCAGGGGAGGGAGGCCCGAGGTCCCCCCCAGGACAGGCTAGTGAGGGGAGTGCAGTCAGGGGAGGGAGGCCCGAGGTCCCCTCCAGGACAGGCTGGTGAGGGGAGTGCAGTCAGGGGAGGGAGGCCCGAGGTCCCCCCCAGGACAGGCTGGTGAGGGGAGTGCAGTCAGGGGAGGGAGGCCCGAGGTCCCCCCAGAACAGGCTGGTGAGGGGAGTGCAGTCAGGGGAGGGAGGCCCGAG